TTAAGAAAGAGTAGCATTACTTAGTACCCTATGTATTTTTTTGTTTTCAAAAATACTTAATACAAGTCTAAATAAATGGGCAGAGAACTATCACATTAACATCGACGCACAAGCAGGATTTAGGTCAAAAATGGGAACTGTAGATAATATTTTTGTATAACAAAATATCATTAATCATATTATTTCTGAAAATAATTGTCTTTTTGTTTGCTTCATTTACTTAACAAAATCATTTGAATTTATTGTTAGGTAAAGCTGATAAAATTAAGAGTCAGGCGAAAATAAATGAATGTTCTGAAATCTATTTATACAAACGTCAAATCCAGAATTAAATTATCAAATACATTGAGCAAAACTTTTACGTGTTCTTTATGGTCAGCTGGTCCCCTTTTCTCTTTTCTATGTACATGAATGACTTAGAAGATATTTTTATATTAAAGGGTTTTAAAGGCATAGACTTAGGTACTCTTAATTTGTTCCTATTATTATACGCGGACGACATTGCTATTATATCGGAAACAAAAGAAGATCTTCAGAATGGATTAAATATTTTAAAAGATTATTGCGAGGTATGAAAAATAGAAAATAGAAAATATACATTTGAAAGGATTAAGGCCACAAACTCAAAATAACTTCGTTTATGGATAGTTAGGTATAAAACAATTAATACCGCTTAGAATAATACGAATCTTACAAATTTGGTTTAAAATATTATAGAACAAAAACCAAATTATAAATGTTGGGCTAATTCAATTAAACAATTACATCAAAGACTAGGTTTTATCATGTCTGGGCTAATAATGGAGCGGGAATGAAATTTTATTTTTGAACTCAGTAAAAACAGAGACTTTAAGATAACTACAAGCTGGATAGAATCTCTACGCAATTCATCAAGAGCTTCCCTTTACATTCTTTTTTCACACTTCAATTTTAAATTGTATCTTGAACAAATTAACTTTCAGAAATTTAGTATATCATTAACAAGATTTAGAGTTTCGACTCATAGGTTACTAATCGAAACCGGGAAATAGCATTAAGCAAAACGAAAGAAAATATATGATATGTAACAAAATAGGGGATGAATACGATTTTTTATTATAGAGTGTACTTTATATTGTGAAAAAAGAACTAAGTATTTACAAAAGTACTACTGGAAAAGACCAAACATACCTAAATTTATCGAATTATGTCAAACGAATCGACTACTATGATAACAAAACTGTCCACTTTTATTTTAAAAGCTTTTGAAATCTGTACACCGATTTACTTTTCTTAAAAATATTTTCTTCCACATTTTTCTCCTGCAACGTCATTTTTTACAACTTATTTTGTTTAATCATTCAATGCTTTATTAACGTGAATAATTAAGTTTCGTTCGGTAAAACCATAGTGCAATATATATATTTATTGTTTAAAGACTATATACATACAATAACATTAATTTTATTATTAATAAGGAATTATAAAATAAAATGTGTACCTTAAACTAAAATATTATGTTTTATGTCGCCATTGACCTATATTTATTTATAAAATAATTGATTGTATATCATGACACTCATGGACTTGTAACCTTTTGTGAAGTAAGATATCATTTATCATTATTTATACTATTTAATCACTAATATATTTAACAAGTTGATATTTTGTTTTGGTTTATATTACGTTCTGGATACAAATGCGTCAAAATATTATTTTCTTTGTTAGACCTCGTGCGAAGCACCAAAAACAGTTTATCGGAAAGGCTTAATTTGTTCGAATAGATGAATTTTACTGGAAAACGCGCCTTGATAAAAGTTTAATTTTTGGTTAAGCTAAACAAAAACTTGTTTAATGGTCAGCTGAGTCAGTGACGTTATTAACAAAGACCGGCGTCTGCCAGTTTCGGAGGTCTGTGACCGAACATGCTAGCAAAGGTAATGTACAATAAATGAACGTTGAATCATACAAAGCACGTTTATTTCTGCACGTTGTATTAATCGTATAAAGGCACCGGATGACATGGCTTGTCGCGGGACTGCGTCCATCCAATTTCTTTGCTTGCATGAACGACTAGGCGATGCATTTCTGGGAAGAATCGTTATCTTGAATGAAATATGGTTATTTTTAATGACCCGAAGAGCAGACACACTGAAGGCCAAAGTAGTGACGTCTGGCAAAAAGAATATGCTTATATTGTTTATGGAAGTAGATGGGATGATATAAAGCACGCTTTTTCGGAGGGAGAAAGTAAAGAGCAGCCCTCTCAAATGTATTGTTTCCTTTAAATAATGTATATTATAATTCGATGAATATAATAGAACAAAGTCTCAATTTTTTTAATTAATTTTTAAACTTACTTAAATATAAAAGCGTCCCCAAATTTCAGATTTACGCTACGCAACGCGATTAATCTAGACAGAAAACGATCGAAGAGGATTAAAGATCTACTAAATATAGGTTCGGCGTTTTTTGGGGTTTTTTTTGTTGTTGTTTTTTTTGTCCAAATTTTGTTCGAAGTGTATCGTAAAGGTTTGTGCATACTTCTAAAATTGTTACTAGACTACCATTTTGAAATAGCGAGGCCTTTTAACAGTTCGACCGCGCATGTTGTGAAGAGTTGTTTGTTTGAAAACAGCATTAACATTAAATCAATGCTCTGTTCTCCGTAAAAGTTAATATATACCTAATCCTAACCCTTTTGTTATATATCGATATTGTCACGGGGGAGGAACTGTTACACGAAGGATGAGTTCTTATGATAACTTGTTTGGATTTCTTTATGATAACTGTCATAGTATCTGGAAAACATTACGGATTTCTGTGGAAATTTTGTCAATATTCTTGGTGAACTCACGTGGAAAAAGGTCATTTTTACATTTAAATTAGGAGTTTGAGGTGCTAAATTAAACTTTGATAATTAAGCTTTTTGCCCTACATATTGTTTTAAGTTTCAGAAAAACCTTTTAGTCCATTTTTCATCGCCTTTTTTAAAAATAAATCTGGTAGTTTTGAGTAAAATTTCCAAATGACTTGCTCATTCGTACATATTGACCTTTGCATTTATGATCTTCTTCCTTGCTATACTTAATTACCTAAATATAATGGAGAGTTGCAAACATAAAGCCAAGGCTTATTAATTTATTCCCGATTTTTCAAATGTCACGGAGTGCTTGTAATAACTCAAAATATGTCCTTGAGTTCTTATGATAACTTTGGTTACTGCCAGTTTGTTTCTTGTGCTTTATTACGCACGTTTAAGCGTATTATATTAGTCAACAAGTGTGTAAATCATTATGAAGCATATGGTACGCATTTGCACAACAATTTGGTTATATGACGTTGGTTTAGAGTGTATTTCAGTTCAAGAGATATTTTTCTTACCTCCGTTTCTTGTGTGTTTTTTGTGTTTGTTTGGGTTTTTGTTTTTGTTGGTTTTTTTGGGGTTTTTTTTCTTCATTTCATCGGAATGACTGAAAACATACTTGATATTGAGCATTGACTTATAGGATAAAAATACGCTTTGAATTTAATACTAAAGCATAATTTCTCCATGTATACATTGTTCCTGGTAGTTTTAATGCTGCAAAATAGGAAAAAGTATGCACTACCTTTATCTAAATTTAATGAGGCGGGTGCCATCTTTAGGTATTAACGGATATTTTAATTTCTGAAAGGTATCAATTTTATCATAGAAACGTATAAAGTTCTATGACAATGATATGACAATAGAAAGTAAGTCTGTAATTATATATGTGAGTCACCGTAAGGTTCATGCCTTTTATCGACATTGTTCCTTTCTCTATAAATCAAAAGTAGCATCACGTGACGTACAGAAATCTCCATATTGCGGAAAATTATTGCAAACATTTTTCGTATAAAAGTTGGAGTCCAACGGGCATTCCCCCGATATAATCCTAGTTGTTGAAACTCTGCAACAACTTTTGCTGTTATTGATAACAAAAATCTATTGCCGAACTTCTTTCGCTCGAATCCGTAGGGCACGTGCAAATCTGTTGAAGAGATCGGAAGCGATCGGATGACTTTTTATGAATATACTTATATTATATACATTTCGGGTTCGCATGGGTGTGAAGGGTATTCCGGTTATATACTTGTTGTTTATGGTAAAAATGATACAAATTACTTAGCCGCTTCTTGAAGGAAGCCCAACTACATGTTGTTGCTTAAGAAATGCGGTTGCTGAGAAAAAACTATAAGTTTTAACAATTTTTGCTTGGCGGTTTAATGCGGTTGCTGAGAAAAAAGTGTAAGTTTTAACAATTTTTGCTTGGCGGTTTAAGCCATGTTACTGCTGAGTACAGGTGTCCGCTGATTCAGGTTTTCCTGCAGATCACCTGTTTATCTTTTGTAGACTGTACACCAAAACAGTTTTATGTTCAATCTATTCTTAAAAGATTTGGGGTTTTCTGACAGCCGAATCCTGAAAAAAATGACAGTTACCTAAAAATTTACGTGGCAAAATCATTTACACACCAAGCTATATACAGCATATTAACTTAACATTGTTATCATAATAACGATATGCATGTCTATTATGCGACTTATATATTTCTCTGTAGTTGCTGTAAAGTCAGCATTAAAGTATTAACATTTCAAAGGAAACACCATCCTTCTTGTAACAGTTCCTCCCCCGTGATTGTATTAAAATGATTATATTAACATCAAAAATAAAGTTGTCTGTGTATTTTAATGTCTCGTATGACATTATTGTCGTTCTTACGTTGCATACACTCGACTCAGGTCAGAGACGATATTAACAAATTTAAGCATGTCTCTTTAAAACGATAGTTGAGAGAAACTAAACTGCATGAATTGTTTTGAAAAAATCGAAATAAAAGTGAATTTACCAAGTGTTAAGTAAATAAAATTTGAAAATATAATAATCTTAATAATTGAATCAGCGGCAAATAATAACTATTTTTCTCGATATGACCCGGAATTGTCGATGGCACGGAAACTGCCACTGAATCTTGTTATTGATTTGTCTTATATTTCAGAAACTCAACTATCGGGAAGACGGGATGAAACATTGTATCTACAAATAGTGTATATTCTCGTAGATTTTGGAACAAAAGTGGTCTTGAATTTGTTTATTCACTTGCTAAAAAATGAAAACAATACTCTTGTTACTTTCTTGACATCACCTGAGTCGCAAAAGACGCTAAAAGAATTAAAAAGGAAGAAAATATTAAGTGAAAAAGAATATAGGCTTTCAAGCGGAAACGGGTTCAATCCAAAAGCAGAACACTTTGACATATCACTCTTAATAACTTTATTACAGAACTTGTTACCAGAAGAAATACTTCCTGCACCAACGAATGGATGGCAAAAGCCTCCTCTTCAAGCAGATTATTCGCTGTCTGCAGATTTGTTACGTCTCCGTAAGATTAGAAATGAATTTGTTGCACATATGGCAAGACCTCAAATTCCTTGTTTTAAATACGAAAAGACCAGAACTGAGTTACTGATAATTTTTAGCCGACTTACCCAAACAATTGAGCCACACAAGGAAGCGGAAAAGATAAAGACAGAAATAACCGATAAAATTGATTCTTATCAAGTTTGTGTAGGTTCTTCAAGGACAAAAGAATATAAAAGTCTGATAAATGAATGGATAACAACATTCAATGAAAAGGTTGTATTCATTTACATCCAAAATTTGTATGTTTTGGTTTAACTTTCGATTTAACATTTTTTGGTCATATCTCGGTGAACGTCCACTGAAAGGGCTTCCCTGATTAACAAACCAGTAATTTCCAATTTTCGCACAAGCAACTTCTAACCCAACTTGTTTTCTAATTCAGCGGTTAGAGATAAATGACCATTAGACTCAAAATTGTTGCAAATAGACTAAATTTACTAGCCTATTTAGAGGTTTACAAACAACAGTTTTATATACCAAATTGTTCGTCTCGATATGTAGTTTCTGGAATTCATTTTGATCCAACCCGATGCTAAGTTATCCAACATGCCATCAAAGATAGCGAAATCTTCAAATATTTTGGAATATTCATGGAAGCTTATTTATCTTTTCAGTTTTGTAAATTAATTAAAATTATAACCGCGTTTTTTTTAATTACCTAACTCATTCATGTTTTCTATTTTTTATCGTTAAAATCTAATGAAATTTGCTTAACTAAGCTTCAAATTGAATATCCTTGCTAATTAAGTCCAGCTTGTAATTTCATTTTGTTAAAACCGGATAAGTTTCATGGTTTCGTTTCGAAATGTATCTACGATTTATTGAAATAAGTGAATCATGGCATACCGGTATTGGTCAAAAACGATATACAAACTTGAGGGGGTAATACTGGTACGATCAAAGCAACTGTAACATCTCTGTTATGTATTTTAATGGAATGTATTTATGATATTTTGCATAAGTTTGAAACGAAACATCTTGCCTTCATTAATTAAACCCTGAACGTGTATTGTCCATTTTGCTCGATTATGCAAAGAAAATTATTGTACTGGCCTGTACCTAGGCATTTGCAATAGAATTGGGCAGGATTTAATTTAAGGATTTTTGTGTATTTTAGTCCTTCATAGCGAAAACATTCATTTATGAGCTGTCGATATATTTTGGAAATTTTTGTAGATCAGTGTCCAAAACCCATACCTCTAGCAATGATTTTGACTGATATCCGTTATAATCTAAGAGAATTCGTTGGAAAGAGCAATCTCCTCTTAAGAATTCACGAAAACCTTTAAATCTGTTTTGTTATCTTAAATGTAAGTATTCGCCCTTTAACAGGATTTTATTGAATTGTAAAATTTTGTGAAATATGAAATTTCCTGTCTCTTGGTCAGTGACCTAGAACTATGATACCAAAGGCATATGTGAATTTTGAAAATAGTTGAAGAGCTTGCCAAAACGAAATAAGCTATCATTGATTCCAATTCATATTTTTAGTTCTGAGGATAGAATACCACTGCAGTCGGTGATCAGAGCTGCATCAGTACTAAGGGTGTAGTACTTAAGTACCAGTACCAGTACTTGCCAATTTTTGCAGTACCATTACCAGTACCAGTACTAGATTTTAGTTTGGTACTGCAGTACCATTACTTTTTTGGGGGAAGTAATTAAGTACCAGTACCATTACTTTTATATATTCATCAAAGTTTGAATAAATACACAGTGTCATACAAAATAATTGCTGAATCGAAGCAGGGGAAAAAGCTTATTGATTTTTTTTTTGTGAATCAAAAATTTACGCAAAAGTTATTAATGTAAGTATTCAGTTAAAAAAACTTCAACTGGATACTAACAAACAAGAAAATAGGAATAAGAAAAGGGATATTTATATCTTTGCACAACAGAAATTTTTCTATTTGCGCACGGATATAAAATATATAACAACGCTGACTCAATCAGTCAATTATAATTACGGATACATAAAAATCAGCAATACCCAAAGTTAATTAGGAAAAATCTTTTATAAATGGCAAAAGTGTGCACACAAAAATTTAATGCCTTTAAAAATTTTTTAATAATTTCACTAAGACAATGATGATATCAAAAATTTAAATCAAAAAGACAAACAACAATAAATTCACTCACCACACACCTTGAATGACATAAATAATCCAAAAGCACAATATCACAATCACACAAAAATATATAATAAATCCAATCCAATGTTCCATACACTGATACACTCACAATTGATAAATATCCAACTAATTAAATGGTATCCTCCGATTATGAATGTTCCTATCCTCCGTTTATGAATGTTCCTATCCTCCGTTTATAAATGTTCCTATCCTCCGTTTATGAATGTTTATATCCTCCGTTGATGAATGTCACTATGTATATCCTCTATTCCTAGTATTGTAGAATCGTCAGTTGATCACTGTTGAATAATAGGTACCGTCAAAATAATTTCAAATTTAAACTTTAGAAGAAAATCTTCTATAGATGTAAAATTGCTTTACTGCATTTTAATCCAAATAACCCCATAAACCACGTTGGGCGCCAAATGTCACAGGGTGAGAAAAATGTGCAGCCTGACCGGGACTCGAACCCGGGACCCTCGGAATACCGTACCGCGGCTCTACCGACTGAGCTATCCGGCCGCTTACACATCTTCTCCCCTATATAGTGAACAGTTCTGAACCGTGACAATTGCATTGTATTACAGTTGACTGGTTTCTAAACAATAACATATGACATGAATATAATTATGTTGTAATCATTGTTTGTAAAAAGTATGTTTATAAAAATGTAATGTTAACTTTAAAGTAAATGATTTTATTTCTTTGCTGAATAATGTTTGCAATTATTTTGTATGACACTGTATTTATTCAAACTTTGATTAATATATAAAAGTAATGGTACTGGTACTTAATTACTTTCCCCCAAAAAGTTCTAGTACTGCAGTACCAAACTAAAATCTAGTACTGGTACTGGTAATGGTACTGCAAAACTTGGCAAGTACTGGTACTGATACTTAAGTACTACACCCTTAGTACTGATGCAGCTCTGATCACCGACTGCAGTGGTATTCTATCCTCAGAACTAAAAATATGAATTGGAATCAATGATAGCTTATTTCGTTTTGGCAAGCTCTTCAACTATTTTCAAAATTCACATATGCCTTTGGTATCATAGTTCTAGGTCACTGACCAAGAGACAGGAAATTTCATATTTCACAAAATTTTACAATTCAATAAAATCCTGTTAAAGGGCGAATACTTACATTTAAGATAACAAAACAGATTTAAAGGTTTTCGTGAATTCTTAAGAGGAGATTGCTCTTTCCAACGAATTCTCTTAGATTATAACGGATATCAGTCAAAATCATTGCTAGAGGTATGGGTTTTGGACACTGATCTACAAAAATTTCCAAAATATATCGACAGCTCATAAATGAATGTTTTCGCTATGAAGGACTAAAATACACAAAATCCTTAAATTAAATCCTGCCCAATTCTATTGCAAATGCCTAGGTTACAGGCCAGTACAATAATTTTCTTTGCATAATCGAGCAAAATGGACAATACACGTTCAGGGTTTAATTAATGAAGGCAAGATGTTTTCGTTTCAAACTTATGCAAAATATCATAAATACATTCCATTAAAATACATAACAGAGATGTTACAGTTGCTTTGATCGTACCAGTATTACCCCCTCAAGTTTGTATATCGTTTTTGACCAATACCGGTATGCCATGATCACTTATTTCAATAAATCGTAGATACATTTCGAAACGAAACCATGAAACTTATCCGGTTTTAACAAAATGAAATTACAAGCTGGACTTAATTAGCAAGATATTCAATTTGAAGCTTAGTTAAGCAAATTTCATTAGATTTTAACGATAAAAAATAGAAAACATGAATGAGTTAGGTAATTAAAAAAAACGCGGTTATAAATTTTAATTAATTTACAAACTGAAAAGATAATAAAGCTTCCATGAATATTCCAAAATATTTGAAGATTTCGCTATCTTTGATGGCATGTTGGATAACTTAGCATCGGGTTGGATCAAAATGAATTCCAGAAACTACATATCGAGACGAACAATTTGGTATATAAAACTGTTGTTTGTAAACCTCTAAATAGGCTAGTAAATTTAGTCTATTTGCAACAATTTTGAGTCTAATGGTCATTTATCTCTAACCGCTGAATTAGAAAACAAGTTGGGTTAGAAGTTGCTTGTGCGAAAATTGGAAATTACTGGTTTGTTAATCAGGGAAGCCCTTTCAGTGGACGTTCACCGAGATATGACCAAAAAAATGTTAAATCGAAAGTTAAACCAAAACATACAAATTTTGGATGTAAATGAATACAACCTTTTCATTGAATGTTGTTATCCATTCATTTATCAGACTTTTATATTCTTTTGTCCTTGAAGAACCTACACAAAACTTGATAAGAATCAATTTTATCGGTTATTTCTGTCTTTATCTTTTCCGCTTCCTTGTGTGGCTCAATTGTTTGGGTAAGTCGGCTAAAAATTATCAGTAACTCAGTTCTGGTCTTTTCGTATTTAAAACAAGGAATTTGAGGTCTTGCCATATGTGCAACAAATTCATTTCTAATCTTACGGAGACGTAACAAATCTGCAGACAGCGAATAATCTGCTTGAAGAGGAGGCTTTTGCCATCCATTCGTTGGTGCAGGAAGTATTTCTTCTGGTAACAAGTTCTGTAATAAAGTTATTAAGAGTGATATGTCAAAGTGTTCTGCTTTTGGATTGAACCGTTTCCGCTTTGAAAGCCTATATTCTTTTTCACTTAATATTTTCTTCCTTTTTAATTCTTTTAGCGTCTTTTGCGACTCAGGTGATGTCAAGAAAGTAACAAGAGTATTGTTTTCATTTTTTAGCAAGTGAATAAACAAATTCAAGACCACTTTTGTTCCAAAATCTACGAGAATATACACTATTTGTAGATACAATGTTTCATCCCGTCTTCCCGATAGTTGAGTTTCTGAAATATAGACAAATCAATAACAAGATTCAGTGGCAGTTTCCGTGCCATCGACAATTCCGGGTCATATCGAGAAAAATAGTTATTATTTGCCGCTGATTCAATTATTAAGATTATTATATTTTCAAATTTTATTTACTTAACACTTGCGTAAATTCACTTTTATTTCGATTTTTTCAAAACAATTCATGCAGTTTAGTTTCTCTCAACTATCGTTTTAAAGAGACATGCTTAAATTTGTAATATCGTCTCTGACCTGAGTCGAGTGTATGCAACGTAAGAACGACAATAATGTCATACGAGACATTAAAATACACAGACAACTTTATTTTTGATGTTAATATAATCATTTTAATACAATCACGGGGGAGGAACTGTTACAAGAAGGATGGTGTTTCCTTTGAAATGTTAATACTTTAATGCTGACTTTACAGCAACTACAGAGAAATATATAAGTCGCATAATAGACATGCATATCGTTATTATGATAACAATGTTAAGTTAATATGCTGTATATAGCTTGGTGTGTAAATGATTTTGCCACGTAAATTTTTAGGTTAACTGTCATTTTTTTCAGGATTCGGCTGTCAGAAAACCCCAAATCTTTTAAGAATAGATTGAACATAAAACTGTTTTGGTGTACAGTCTACAAAAGATAAACAGGTGATCTGCAGGAAAACCTGAATCAGCGGACACCTGTACTCAGCAGTAACATGGCTTAAACCGCCAAGCAAAAATTGTTAAAACTTACACTTTTTTCTCAGCAACCGCATTAAACCGCCAAGCAAAAATTGTTAAAACTTATAGTTTTTTCTCAGCAACCGCATTTCTTAAGCAACAACATGTAGTTGGGCTTCCTTCAAGAAGCGGCTAAGTAATTTGTATCATTTTTACCATAAACAACAAGTATATAAAATGCTGTCGAGATATGGATCTTGAATACCGCATTAGAATGTGCTTAGGGCCTGGAAAATGTTGAGCATTACATAATATGCCAAGAACATACCCAATCGGGGCAGATCTTTAGTTCTTGTCGGTTATTTATTTCGTTTTAGCTCATTACGGATATTTCCTTTTCCAAATTGCTACAACTATAATAAAAAGGACATGTTAATGGTTAATGCGATCTAAATTAGCATTACAGTTTTTTATTTAATCAACTTTATTCATGGAATATTCATATTACATATCAGCCAATACTTTCATTCAAAATTGGACAGTTTCAACATAAAACATTTAAAAGAAAGATACAAAAGTATCAAAGGTAACAAACAATTCTCATGGTTGCCTTTTTAGACAGTAATTTTAGTAACAACGTATACTTTCTAACATATCAAAACAATATGTAAGAATTGATTGAGCGTATCGCATTTAGGGGGTCATGATAATCGCTGTATGAACATTTTGGAGGAGGATTTTATCATTTATGTCAAATGCCGAATTATGCTTAAGCCAGTCCTAGGGACATGAACAGAAGCTTGCAGTTACTTCTTCTTTCATTCAATGGGTTCAATCAAACCACCCCTGCAGATGTTTTAACCATGCCGTTTTGGATGTTCTTTTGGGATTCTATTGTTCTTCATTTATTTCAAATCAGTGTTGTTTGAGCCGTGTGAATGCTATAAAACGTCGCCCGTGCATTCATTTCCAAATGCAAAAATTTAAACATTCATGTTAAATGTTGAATTCCGATTCATTTACACCACATTTCACAGTTGTGGTCAGTATCATTCCTAGTTGGGCATATCGCCGGCACGTTCGCTTCGCTGCACAAAATAGCCACCATAGCTGTAAATAGAAAAGTCTTGCCCGGCCCTTACAGGTGACACTGCTGGTGGAATGTCAATGAAATTTCATAGGAGTTATCAGTACCATCCTTAGAAGGGAATATCGCCAACAAGTTCCGTTTCGCTGCACAAAATGGTCGCCAGAGCCTTAGATAGAAAAATCTTGTCCAGCATTCACAAGTCAAACTGCTGGCGTGATGTCATTGAAACTTCACATGAGTGATCAGTGCTATACCTAGTTGTGGGAGACATTTGTTTTTGTGACAAAACTCCTTTTAGTTCTATTGTAATTACCGATAAATTTTATTGTGTGACATAGCCAACACTGATAACGTGTTGGTGTCAGCATTTTAATCTGCTGCTAAGAGTCACATAAAACAGCTTAATATGACAGAATAGCAGCTTGCTTGTTCTGAACTGTTGCATTCAAATAGTTTTACATATCAGGTTAACTCTCATTAACTTCAAAATGTACATGTATTAGATAGCTATTACTCTAGACAATCTAATAAGATTGATAAGAATGATAAACAGCATTTCCCTTGCTTTGTTGGTCTTTGTTCTCATTTTGTTATCAATCATTTAATAAATTTAACAACCTATTGATAAATTAAAGATGTTAAAATCCGTAGGTTACCTTAAAACAAATCATTCTTACTTAAAAGATTGTTGATTTAATTAGATCTTACTGATACCTATTGCAATGCCAGTCAACAAAATTTAATCATATGGCGCAACTATTGTTATTTCCATTTACTAAGTGATAATTTGTTGGGTATGATTTAAATAACCAGAAGCAAATTATCACAGTATATAAACGAAATCATAAGAAATTACAATTTGACAGAAACACCAAAAACAGCACAAATTTTAATATGCATTTAAAAACTATGACTTTCACTTTGTATGTCTAACTTCTTAATTTCAAACATCAATATGTTCAAAAATGACATACATCATCAATGCATTTCTCTTTTGAGTTCAATTCAATAGCGCTATAACAATTTAAGTTATAGGTATTTGTCTGTCTAAACATAACCGAGAGTATAGTATTATTTTGCACATTTATGCAAATCAAAACCAAAATACAAGATTATTCAATGAAATTATTTTGATCGTGTAAGCTATAAGTGACTACTTGCGTTCAAAATTTTATTTGAAATTCGTTTATGGAAACATGAATTAGCATTGGTGTTGTAGATTGTAAACGGTTTCGCGCCGTCTTTGATATCTAAGCTCCGCATTGGATTTTAGCCAAATGAATTATCATTCCAGAAACTACAGACCCAGACAAACTATTTAAATTTGCTGTCGGCTGACATAGACCACTTTATTTAGCCTTATAGATTTGCAGCAATGTCTGAGAAAAGTTGCCACGGAAATATATCGCCTCGCGCGAAGATCGAACCAGCAGCCCCTTGATTACACACTCAAAGTTTGTGATCAGTCATAAAATTGGCATGCATATATATTTGAAGACACATTTTTCAAAGTCTTTTCAACAATGTTTTACATTATTTATTCATACAGGTAGAAATGTCACTCAAAGCAGTGAAAGGTAAGATTTATTATATTCATCTTGTAAATATTAAAATGAAAAAAACAATGTTTTGGATGAAGTAATTCACTTGTAATGAGATATCGGCAAAATTAAGTTTAGTATGAGTATGATTGGTCAAAGTGGTTCTTTTAAATATAAAATTAGATAATACTTAAGATAACACATTCGTCCACAGGGTGAGCTTCTACTTAGATGTTATTAAAAATTTAAATTGCTAAACTATATCATTGTTCTATACCCTCTATGTATATATTTAAGTGGAAATGGAAATCGTTTATTCGTCTATTATGCTCATACATAATTTCGTTTAATAACATTTACAAACATATTATTCATGCCTAAAACATTTTTCAGAGTTTGGGTCATACTTTACCGAAAGACCAAGGCGATACGAGCGGTATATAAAACTACTTATAGAGGGTGGTAACAAAGTTCTGTATGGTGTATTAGAAAGAGAATGCAAAAAGAAAAACACTAGTGTGCTCACATACACCGATTCTCTCCAAAGTCAACGTGGTTACGAAAGAAGTTTTACAGACAGTAACACGCCAGAGTGTGATGTCACTAAACTTGCTACACTGTTACTTGAGCACTTTTGTGATGAGTTAAATGAGAATGAAAGAATAGAAATTAAGAAGATCCGACGTGCTGTGGAAGAACATGCGGATGCGATTATCGCTTCATTGGACAGAGAAAGCTTTACCTCACTGTGGACAAATCTTGTCAGTTGTATTAGATGTTTGTCGATGATATTAGATACAAAAATAAAAACACAATGTGATGATCTGATTGAAACATACTCAAAAGATGTTGAGATTGATTTCAACGATCTCCAACGATATTGCACAGATTTGAAGAGCCTCACTGATGTGTATCAAGGTATACAAACAAAGTACAAAATCGTCATTCTTTTGTTATACATGTATATATACATTCAATCAAAACCCATAACCCCGAAAACTGTTAGAATTCTGTAAAAAGCGAAATTGTAATCCTGTTTTCAAAAAGGTAAAGACAATTAACGTTATAGCAATTTTCAATAAAGGTTTTTCTCTAAGCTGTAAAGAAACATATTTTATACAGCTAACATATATGTTTCAGATGAAGTTAATCAGTTAAGAGACCTATTAAAGGAAATGAAAGATAGTGATATACCTTTCCAAAGGCCTCAAAGTAAGTAGATAGTAATTTAAACATATGACATGCCGTCATCCTTAGAAACTTTATAATATACTGACATGCAAAAGTATTACAACACATTAATAAATGACATTTTCTCACGTCGCGTTTTAAGACGTGACTGTCTTTTTATCGAAATGCTATTGACATTTTACTATACGACATTCCAATAATTTATGATATCATCAATAATTTTACAGTTTTAATGTTCATTTAATGTATAACTTTTTAATTGTAATTTATGTATCAAAATTATTGCATTAATATTTTTTTCATTATCAGCTTTGGAAATCAAAATCATAACACTTGGGGAAAACAAAGAGAAAGCAAATATAGCAGAGATAATTTTATATACAATCTGGAAAGAGGCTTTGGAACGAGTTGATGATTCAACTAGTTTCATATCTGTCAGGGCAGAGGTTTACAAAATCCTTAGTACAATCCTTAGCATACCGGATGTTACAGACGTTTCTGTTGCACATAAATGCATTATACTAGGAATACAATCTGATACACCCGCTGCTACTTTGGAGCTTCTGAGTTACTTGGAAAAAGGCACTTTTGAACAATGCTTGAATATAATTGGATGTGAATTGGGGGCCATTTTTGATGAAGTTTTTACTTTGAAATCGAACTTTACTCTTGACTCTCTACTTACCATTTCCTCAAACATACAAGGTAAGTACATATTGCTTATATCCCACTATTGTTTCGTGCACGTAAACATATTCTTTATTGTACTATTAGGTAGTCATCATTTGGGAGTAGTTTTTATGCTACTTCATAAAATGGTGCTTTTTTAATCCGAATTTTGAATATAGCCTTTTGACGGTCGATGGCAGAACATTACATTTCATTTTCATATAGGGAATCTCCTAAACTACATACAAAGTTTTCAAGCTTTAAAGATCAGTTAATATTCGTTTATTACAATATAAATTCAGTATTATAGAAACATGATTTATAAATGTTTAGCAAGGTAATTATCAGCGTAATTATCAATAATGTTTAACAATCTTATCCATTAAAATAGTGTGCAAAATAAAACGGAGATAAAGAAATAGGATGATCTTGTTATCGAACCGGTCTTAATAAGGAGACCCATGCAAATTGTCAATATAGTTATGTGAATCTGTAATAGTTGATTAATATTAACGACTGGAATCGCTGTAGACATGTAACAGTTTGAACGAAACAAACCTTGTCACAAGAATTTTACTCAACAAAATTATTGAAATCATCACATGTATGCATCTTTTCTTAAATGCACATGTCAATAACCCTGATATTTATTCGAAAATATGTGACTCATTTAAGACACTTTTCACAATAGAATAGTTTTATTTTAATCATTGTTTCCTATGTTATCGAATTCTTCCATTGGCGATCTCTTGCTAACCGGTTTTGTTGGATCAATTATTTTCCCACAGTCTGGTGTTTCAGGATTGTCTGAACCTGAAAGTAAAATAAATAAGATATGTTTAGTTTTTGGTAAAAATAAATTGTATCTATACTTGTTTCTCATTTAGAAATTACAGACAATTTGCTATTTTTGTTTTGTTCAAACATACATTTTATCAAATATTGAATTATTTTCCTTTCTCATACCGTTTCATATTATATGTTATAACTACACAGTATCCATGAAAATACCAATGACTTGTTAAAAAATCTTCTTAGTGATAGCAATTCTTTAATATTAAAAAACAATCACACATTTTAAAAGTGAAAGAAGAAATATAATTTTTTGACAACACTGTTATTGTATAATTAAGATAAAAGAATTCCTGGAAATCAAAATGGTATCCGACTTCCGATTACGTGCAAATCAGCCGCAGGTTTAATGGAAGTATGGTCACTATTTCAAAGTAAAGAAATGGAAGAGAGTACAAAGATGATGGAAAAATCTTTTTCTGAAAATCTGGGACAAAACATTATGTTACAAACTCATCCGGGACTTGTTCACTATTATGAGGAAACAGGTAAATCTTGTATATCCATTATTGACAATTTTATCGTTACCAGTTGGATTACTTTATAATTACTACCGTGTTTGAACAAATATTTTCTGGTAGCCGATTTCCGATTTGGCACTTTGTTTACTTGAAATTAATTTATTTAATGCCGATATTTTGTATTCCCAACTTAATATCTTCACAACAGAATGCACTTTTCACGGCCGGCATTTTATCAAAGTTGTTAAATAATTAAATGTGAACATTTTTAGGAGGAGGAAAATACATCAGGATAGGTGACCATACGGAAGACAAGGAGTGTTTAACACAACAAATCGTTGATGATAATTTAGACAAGGTACATCATGACAATGTTCTTCCAGGACAGTATGCTACAATGATGCCAGGTGGGTTTAAACGGGAAACTTGATTTTATTTCAGAAAAAAAGATTATTTCGTTATTGAAATCCTAGCTATGTTTGTGCATGTTAATCAACTATATAATCGTACAAGGACGTTTTATGATTTACTGTTCTATCTCTTGATTATCTTTCACTTGGTAAATGTAGCATATTTTGAAGTGAAAAAAATTAGAAGACGTTAACTATCAAAAATTACTTTTTTACTCCGTTATTCTTCTTGTATAATTCGCTAACTTATCATTGTTTTTCTTGGTAATTGTGGTATTGATTCTTGATTTATCTAAAAATACAAAGAAATAACTCAACATTAATTAATTTATCAATTAAATATATGGTATCTTTAATTAGTGAACATGAGCACAGATAGCATTTGTGGTTATTACTCCATGGGCGATGAATACAAAACAGGAGGAAACAAACAACCAACTGAGACAGTTAGTATATTTTTTATTTCAGCATTTGTTAAATTCTAAATATTAATGTTATGCACTGACAGAGGTTCAGAACTAAAAGCATGACAACAGTGATATTTGAAACAATGAAAAACGATATTCAAGTAAATGAGGTAAGTTGTATGTAATCGCACAGGAGCTAAGGTGCTGCAATATCAAATCAAACTTTATGCCTCACCCTCTTTTGAAGTACCTATGCGTTTTATTCTTTCAGGTGTAAATGCTGGATTAAGTACAGTACCTTATCTGACATAGATATTCCATTTGACTAGAAAAGGTTATTGTCATGTGGCTAATCAATAAACCCCTTTGTTTTTTATTTAATGATGTTTAGATAACTTTCAATATATCTTTTTTATTTCGCTACTAGACAAAAGCGGAGCATCTTCACAGCGTGAAGAATAATGACAGGAGAAATGATCTAATTCAAAGCGTACTACATTCTCTTGAAAATACAGACAGTGAAAACAGAGGTACTTTTTACTGAATTTTCAAACACATAAGTGACACTTATGTTTGAAATATTTTACTTGTGTTTATTTAACGTACTTCAATCATTTTATAAAGGAAAACAATCGATTCTTAACGTTTTAGATTATTTGACACAACACAAATAAATTTATCATTAATTGTTATCATTTCTGGTTAATCTTCAAATGATAATACTGGTCAAAATAAATTAAAAAGTAAGAAAACAATTAATTATCTGTAATACACATACAATTATCGCCATTTAAAAAGAAACATTTCTTTGATGATTTTAAAAGTAACATATTTAGATGGGTGAAATTCCCGGTCGATGGGTCTTAGATTCATTCCAATTTCTTCGTAAAATTTAAAGCAGCATGCCTCCAGATTCATGCTAATTTTCATGGAAATTTTTAAAATGTATTTAAAAGTAAAAAATTGTGAAGTGAACAAAGAACGAAATTTACACTTTCCAAACGGCATTTACAATCCACGTAAATTACCAAAAAGAGGTCAAAATATACATAAATACTTTTTACTGTGTTAGTAACGCACTAGAATTATAGGGATTGATACAGCAAAATTAGTCATTAATCGCACATAACATGTAAATACTTAATTAAATATTGAATCTTTTTACTTTTCTTAAGATCCTTATACATTTTTCTAAAAAATGAATTTCTTGAAATATATTGGCTCATCTGGAGACATCTTTTAAACGTACAAGTATAAATCTTATTTGAATAAACGAATGCGTTGCCGCCCATTCAGTAAGAAAAAAATGAAGAGTTGAAAAAACAAATATACTATCGATCATGAATATATTTGGGTAAATTGAGAAACAAAAATGGGAACTCGCAAATGATGTTGGCACTATATGAAAAAAGAACGTTTATTTCCATTGACTTTAACAAACCGAAATCGCAAATTTTTGCATAACATAAAGTAACACTGGAACAAATCTAATGAAGTATCCAAATTATGTTTAAGCTTCTTATATTCATAGCTATTGGGTTTACACCGCATTATTATAGAATTTTACATGGAACAACCAAACCGGCCTTAATTGCTATGGTCTCTATGATCTTTGGTGTCCTGAATAGTTTGGACTAAAGTCCTTTAAGTCCTTGGCTCTAGAGACTAATTAGAGCATGTTTATCTGCGCCTCTGGCACGGATAGATCAAACAAAGGTAGGCCTAGGCCTCCCTTTCCTTTCGTCTCATAAAATGCATTTAGAGAAGACCCTGGTTTCTTCAACCATTCCCTTAGGTATTTCCCTTCCTTCGGGTCCCGGTGTGGTAAGCATCCTTCTTGAGTGGGTAGTTGATCCCCGCTAGGATAAATTAGTTAGTCATAACCAAATTTTGTCTGGACTTGAGTGAAGCTTTGGCCATTTTCTCCAGCATACTTTTCAGTTCCACAACTAAGTTTTTGCAAACCTTGGTGAGCCACGATATTACAGTGACTCGATAAAGTCTTACTCTACTGGGCCAAACTTGTACCCATTTTCTGGCTGGTGATTGCCGCTAGCATTGAGTCCATTTCTATCCATCAGCATTGGGCTGGGTGGATCTCCGTGCTTGGCACCCTTCTTCTTGTGAATGTCTGGGGAACAGTCTTTGTCCGTTTTTTTACACGGTTGTGACTCCCTCGTAGATGTTTTTTACAATGTCTTTGTTATTTTGGTCTGTACCATATAGGTCCAGTCCGACAACAAAATGTTTTATGTGACACTGTCCAGGAATGCTACAAATACCCCATTGACATGTCGAATAGTTTCTGTGAGGAGATAAGAGTGTTCATTAACCGCCGCGTGCAAGAATTCAGACAGACGTTATCCAAATAGGGAAAAACAGAATCCTTAAAAAAGAACGTCCAAAACAACAAAATAAGAAAATGTTGCAGGCTCGGTTTGATTGAGCCTGTAATTGAATGGCACTAGTAATTGCAAGATACCTTTCACGCCCCTAGCACCAGCTTAAACAGAAATCAACATTTAAACAATGAAAATGGTGAAATTTTTGAATTTATAAACATCCGCAGATGTGTTCATACGGTGGTTATCATGGAACCATCAAGAACTCTTTAAGCTAGAGGCGGAGAATCAATGACGATTTTTTTCGCAACAGAATAAAACAGTTCCTCTTTACTATATCGGGCACTTTTCCGGTGACAATGTATTGAATACATTTGCCAGGAGCTCCCTGTTTGTGTTTTTCTGTATCAGCTGTCTGAGCTCGTTTTAATCTGGCCCTAGTGAAAGCCTTTTAGGTTTTTCGATTGTAACAGTTTTGGTTGTCGGCAGGTTTTTCAACTGATGGCAAGGCACTCAAGTCGACAGTTTGTGACTCTTTCCATGAAAATTTCGTTAAAGACCTTAGCAACGTCATCGGGTTCGAGAATTTATTTTTGAGATACAACCTTTCCGTCCTGTATAAGTATATCCAATGCCTTTTTATCTCTCGAAAATGGGTAAAAGAGTGTCTCATACGTTCTTACTTTTTTTGCAAGCTCTATCTGTTTTTTTGACAATTGATTTGACATCGACTAGGCACTGTCTCCGGCTAGATTTGTATTCCCTGCATATACTGATTTCATAAAAACGTGTGTGTCAAAGTTTGTTTGTCTTCGACTACGCATTTCTGTTCTATACTACTATTTGTTTCTTGGTTGGCATTGAACTGTTTTCTTAGCCTTGTGAAAGCCTCGTTTTTTGTCAGATACTTGCTTGGCAATGAAACGTGGAATTTCTTTTTGCGATAACCGCATTGATTAACCTCTTGTAGGAATGCAAAGCTTCCGACTCAAGCAATTTGGTTACGGTTTCGACCGACCAAACCTTCCTGCTGTTGCAGGTATTGCAGGACGTCACAGCTTTCCTAAATGTTATTTGTCTTTCTTTTCTTTCCACTTCTACCTTAACACTTGCAATCCTTTTATCGTTGGCAAGATTAAAGTGCTTGTGCCGAACATGCTGATCAAACCAGATCGCCTATTTGAATGGTTAGCTGCATTCATCGTGTGCTAACCTTTCCGTCTCCTTTTTTGGGCTGATCTATTTTATCCTCGCTTCTTTTCATTCTTCTCTTCCTAATCAACCCTTAATTGATGGTCATTCTTCCCTTCCAACTCAGCCCGTAATGGATGGTTATGCCCTTCAAACTTGGATTGAGTTTGCCGCAGAGGTTACATTTGAAGGTAACATTATTAGTTTTTGGCTAAGCTTCGATGTGTTCTAGAAGAACTTAAGGTGAGGCCATCATTTCCCAGCATGGTGAACACTTGGAATGGGTAAATGAATTTTGGCTCCCCTTCAGATCTAACTTCTTCCGAGTTGATAAGTCCCTCGGGGTGGGCTGTTAGTTCTTGATCTAAATGTTATTTTGGAATCCAGTTACTAGTTCATCGCCATGTATTCTACGTCCGATAAGTGGTAAAATTGGCGGTGAAGACAAGTATTGGTAGGACTCATTGCTTTCTGAGGTCATAGAGATTTCCATCTGTTTTGTCTGTTCTTGACCGCTACTTGGTCGTTGTGTTAGTCCTGGTCTAGCCATACCCATGGAATTGAATTATTGTTTTTGGCACCTGCGAAATTGTGGTGTATCCTATCCGGTTAAAGATTTTTGTAAATACTTTTTCATTCTTGTTTCCCAATCTAAATTGGGTAACAGTTATGAAATGTTTGCAAATATCGGCTAAATCGAACAAGTTTTCTATTGGACTACTCGACACTCTCCAAGGTACGATAAATTGAAAGTAAAGAGTCGGCTTTAGGTTGGCATTACTCCTTAAAAGCGTTTAAAATGCAAAACATGTACTATATTATCATAGTATAAGTTGTATAGGAAATGCATGTTGCAATTGTATGTGAAAGATAAAAAATCCGCTGGCGTGTCTCGAACCCATACCCAGGACCAAAAAGTATAATTCGGTAATTCCCAAACTCACCAACTTGGCAAACAATAAATAGGTGTTGAAAATTATCTATATAAAATTTAATATCTACTCTGGCATCCCTTATTTCTGTATCTGTCCATGTTGGTGTAAACACATGCACATAAGCAAATTACGATTCTCTCCGGAAACTATCTACAGGCAAAGCGGGTTCCGTTTGCTCCAGACGTAAATATCTTTGAATATACATTACTTGTGTACACTGTGTGAGGACACAATGTTCATGCTTTTGACCAGTATTAAGACTTAAACAAAATTTTAATCTGCAATCAATGAGTACATTATCTTCAAATTCGATTTTCAAGCATTAATCGTTACATGTACATTATAAATAGGTGACGGCGAATCTACACATGTGCAGACACAAATATCTATAGGCGATTGTATAAGGCCAGTCGGCAAAGGTTCAATTGGGACAGTTGGGCCCTTCGTCAAAATAAAAGAAACAGGAGAGATGTGTTTCCTTACTGTGAGACATATTTTTGGTCGTCTTGAGCAACCTGATAAGATGTTTATTGGTTCGAAAGTTGCCCATCGTTTGAGCACCAACACTAATGCGGGAATGATTCGTGTTACTGGGGAACATTTGATAGCTTTCAAAATTTACAACAAAATACTTTTGGACCCCTCCTTTTGGGTTCAAATTACCCCGCAAATCATTTTTTAACCCAAATAGTTTACAGTTTTGAAAGGAAAGGTCAATGAAGATATGTTTCAAGAGGTTTTTTTCCCAAATTTAATATTTGTCTGGGGAAAAAGGACAAAATGGGGATTTTAAGCCCAGAAAAAAATTTAAGTTAGTGTTTAAAAATGTACTTTTTCATGAAAAAAAAAATAGTTTGAAAAATTTTGTAGTTTTTTCCAGAAAAAAAATTTAATTTTTAAGGTAATATTTTTTTCTTGTCAAAAATTACTAAAAAAAAAACCCTTTTTTTCAAAAAAATTGCTTTTTCTAATATGGATGTTTACTTTCAGGGTCCTCTGCTCCGAAATACGCATGCATACATTCCAATTTTCAAGTTGAAAATGCAAAGCAAAACGAAATATTTCAAATGCAGTTAATTAAGGTTGGGAATAAAACTGGCTGGACGAAAGGTAGAATGCTCTTTACTGATGGAAAGGTAATCACGAAACCAGAAACAATTTTATATACATACGATGAGAGAATGATTATGGAAGCTGTCCCTTATTACGGCTATATACATGCTAAAAATGAAAACGGTGATGCTTTTGCACAAAAAGAAGATCACGGATCTCCGGTTTATCTATTAGATACTAATGGTCAACTCCAGTGTGTTGGAATGCTTTGTTGTCAAATGAAAAATGGAGATGAGTATTTAATTGGACAGATCGGTTTTATCTTAAAGAGCCTCGGGAACAAAATTGGACAGACATTAGTGATTGATAAATTCGAACAGGTAAAATATTATAATTTGAAATGAATCATAAAAAGTCAAGAATTATAAGAACTACGTCCCCATATGAAATATTGTTAATTTACTTTAATGTTTCAATAAATTTTCAATTCAAATTCAATACTTCATAAGTTGCAAAATATACGTAAACATTAAGAAGTGTTTGAATCCGCGTTTTTTTTTTTTGTTTTTGTTGTTGTTGTTTTTTTGTGTTATTGTTGTTGTTGTGTTTTTTTTCTTTCGAATCAATAAAATAAATATTACGTAATTGAGGATGAATGATTTACTAGTAAATTTCATACATAACAAACTGTCATATCATAATTATAGTAAATCGCCTTATTCACTACAAACATCAGTTGTCACCCGTTCGCTTTTGTGCATTTAATGTGTATACACTATACAGAAGTTGAACATATATTAGAAAATCAAATACAAAGTTTACAAAATCTATTGACTGGTAATTTAAGAATTCAAATCTAATGTTTTGCAGTTGAAATAATTTACTAGTTGCGGCTTTGTTAGTAACGAATCATGCACCTGACAATGACACATTTTTTTGCAATTAATTAATAGAGTTTTAACCCGTGAATAAAAAAGAGTTACCATTTTGTAATTATTAAGAGTAATCACTATCAATCAATCAGTCTATTTCATTTCACCAATGAACAATAGAAATATAGTATGAATCATGAATTTCTATTGTTGTGTACAAACATCACATCTTTTTATTTGAGAAAAAGTAATATCATATGCACGAATGTGTGAATTTGAACATGTATCAGTGTTGGAAATGCTTTGTTTTACAAAATTTTTGGAATTTTTTGTTTAATTTTTTTTTCTTTTTTGTTTCCCAAAATCCCTTAAAATTTAATTTCTAAATTTTACGGGTTAGCGAAAAATTGACCCCCTTAAAAACAAAGGGAATTTTTAAACCAAGCTTGAAGAGGAAATTTGGAGTAGGGACCCCCAAAATTGGAATTAAAAAATTGGTTTCTTTTTTCCCCGAAAAAGGGAAAAAACCCAAACCTTAACAAGGAAAAACTTTTTTTTGAACCCTTTAAAGATAGCATTCCCTTTTTACAGATTTTTAATAGAAAATTTACCCCCCAAGGGGAAAAAATGCATGGAAAATTTTGGAAAACAAGTAACACAACAAACTTGTATGACGAATGTTCTCGGCGATTGGTAGATGTTACAAACAGGGAGCATACGTCCCTTTAGAGTTTGAAGAAGAAAATGTCATTGATGCAATCATTGACACGTCAGAAGGTGGTGAGATTAGGACATTTAAAGGCGATGTTTCGAGTGAGCCAGAATCAAGCACACAAATGAATGTTGAGTGTAACAAACAGTTTAGTGAGCAGCAAAATAAGCAAGCAAACGACCCGGAAATACAGTTACAGACATTGTTTTCTAATCATTTGAGAGATGAAAAAGAAATCAATGATCAAGATGTACTACTAGCAAATATTTGGGATTTTGGTGGTCAATTCATCTATTATGCTACGCATCAAATATTTCATTCGAGGGACGCAATATATCTGCTGGTGTTTGATCTTACAAAGGATCTTGATACACTCATTATTGACTGCGACTTCCCAGATAGACAGGAGAAGATGAGAAACAATTTATTGTTCTGGGTGAACTCGATACATGCGTTTGTTGGTGATGATGACTCGGAAGAAAACATGAAACCTACAATAATATTAGTAGGAACACACAGCGACAAGGTAAAGGGAAACGTTGACTCCAAATTCCATGAGGTTTATCAGCTGTTTGAAAATACAAAAATCAGACACCATATATATGAGAAACCATTTGCAGTTGCAAGTCTTGATAAAGCTGATGATGGAATAGACAATTTAAAGGAGACAATATATAATTTAGGCGTACAAAATGCTAAGTGCATCAAAATACCAGCAAAATGGATTCCTCTAGAGATTGCATTGCTGAATATTCGAGATGAAAAGGAAAAGCAAATTCTAGAGTTTGATGAGGTTGTGGCTTTAGATATGCTCAATACCCATCCAATCGCAGATATAAAAGAAATCAGGAAATTCCTCAACTACCATCATGCGAAAGGCACAATTGTCTTCTTTGATGAAGATGGCCTTGACAAGTATATTGTCCTGAACCCCCAATTTATGATTAATGCGTTTAGGTGCATTATTTCTGCCAAATGGTTTTGTAGGTGGAACCACACTGTTCAGATAAATGCGAAGAAGTTGAAGCGAGAGGCTATTCTAGAACCAGAGTTTTTAGATGCTGTTTGGGAAGAAGATCAGTTTATCAATTTCAAAAAGATTTTGCTTATGTTTTTAGAGAAACATCGGATACTTGCTGAATTAAGGCAAATGGATGAACAAACTGGCAGTATCCAACTTCTAGGAAAATATATGATACCAAGTCTACTTAAGCCTGAGCTTTCACGACATGAAACAAATGACTTTTTACAATATAAAAAATACACAAGAGTTATTCTTGGGCTTGAACTAGAAGGATTGATATCTACCACAGTCTTTGAAAAATGTACAGCGGCTTTGCTTGGCAAATGGCCCCCTATTGAATACAACGATCAAGTCCTTGTTTCACAACGTGAAGGACTTTATCGTCTTGATCTACAACACGCCGGGTTAATACAAAAGTCGGGTGAAAACATAGAGCTGATGGTTATAAACCTTTGTCCCCCTGAACACCCACAAAGTACAACGTGTGATCGTTTTCGTCGATATGTAGAGATGGTTCTCACATATGAGAAACGTAAAAATCATTTACGTCAACAAGGAGATGTAAAGCCTTACCGACATTATTTCAAATGTAATGACTCTAAGCATGAAGGCCGTGGAAGTCACAATGTTCACTTTTTAGATGAAATCAGAAATGAACCGAAGGTATGTTGTCCAGATAATAGAAGTCATCCGATATATGTACAGGAGGCTATTGCCGAATGGTTCCAAGGAGAAGGCATCACGGATTTTGAAACCAGTATCATACGAAAAGCGTCGAAAAACGACAAATTGGTTTCGAGAGTGGCACGAGAGTTTGGAATAAATTGGAAAATGTTTGGAATCGCTATAGGTCTGTCATTTGAAGATTTAAAGTCAATCAGTGACGAATGTGATCAAGAAATAGAGATAAAAATTCTAATAATTGCGATGTTCAATGTATGGAAAGAAAAATATCCGGATGATTCCGACTACATGCATGAAAGAGAAAACCAAATCGAAAATAACACCGGTATTAATGTGGACTGGGACAAAGTGCGAAATTGCTTTGACGCTGGTTAGAGTTGTTTGCAAGATAAACAGGTGAATATATCAAATTTTACATCAGTCGTAACTATTTAATTGATTTACATCATACACATTGAACAAGTATTTTTCATCTAAAAAAAACACTTTGTCAGACATGCTGACACAAATATCGGTATCTTACAATGGATTGATACAGATATTCATATTAATCAGTTTAAAATCATACCACCGCAAATACCGCTTAGAAGGGGGCTTGCGAGATGTACACATTTCCATTATCTCTTATGAGTTAATCAAACCTAGTCCACTATTGTCATGTAAATTTATTATTTATTAATTTATTAATTAACTAATTTATTTAATTATTTACTTATTTATTTACTTGCGGAGGGATTCCCCTGTCAAGATTGATTTTACTAGTATGAGCTGATCGTTATCATTTAGAGAAATGTTTCCTTTCTTTATGATTAAAATATGTATTGAGCTATTTAATATTTTCTATTTCAGCGGCTCATCACGTGCGAGGCTGGTTAGTCATTTGGGGAATTCTGCCTTACATTGATACTTAGTAACTTTACAATTTCAACAAATTACCATTTTCATTTGTTTATGTCTTTTTCCTTATACGTGTTTGATTTCTTGCAAGCAAATATCAGTAACATATTCTTAATGCCCAGTATGAGTGTCTCAAGGTTAAAATCATTTTTAATAAAAGGGTTATGGAAAAGGGCACCTGAAAGGTGAAAAATGTAAAACAAAACAATTATTATGCATAATATTATGTCGTTATTATACATATTGAATACAATACTGAATATTCTAATTAGCACCTCGTCCAGTGTTAAGTTTGACAGCTGTGTACAGGTCAAATAGAATCAATATTGTGTTCACCAATGTGTAATGGTATTTCATTACCGTGTAACGATTCTTTGTACATTTTGGCAGAACGTTGTCACTTTTAGTTCAATAAGATTTGATATGGATTGTTTGATCTCGGTTAATTAAAACGAGACTAGACGGAGTACAATAGTGATTTGATATAATTTTTAAGCTTGGAAAATAAAAACGAGGTTAATTTGATAATATTGGATCCAACAGTAATTTATATTTGAAGACGCTTGAAATCCATTGGCTGTATTTCAAAATGTTTTGAATAAAAAACTTTATCGATGTTGATTGCTTTTTAAAAGATCCTGGACATAAATGCATCACTTACAGTATAAATATGCTTGTTAGGCCTGTTATTTCTAACTTTATACACCACTTTCACACACAAGTGCTTTATGTATATAGAACATAATTTTAATCTTATTGCACATTATGTATTAAGTGCTAAATTTTAACGTTATTGTTGCAATATAAACAAGTCATACATCATGCATGCGTGTCTTGTTACTTCCTTATTGAAAGTCCCCATGTAAATTTAGGTTTTTGTTTTTATTTTTCATATCTATTTTCTTTTGATTTACAGAATTGTCATTATATTTATCATAGTTTGGGTTGTACAGGAAAAATGCTTAGCGTTTTGTAGTACAAGATAAAAAGACAGAGGAACGTTTTTAACTTCAATATGTTCAAGACTTATACAGAGAATTATTTAAGTACATTTGAATGTTTACTGTTGACAATGGAATACCGCTTAATATTATTTGTCGTGAAAAATATTTAAAAAAAAAAAAACTCATTCAAACCGAGTCTGCATTTTTATAAAGTATTGGTGTGTCATTGTTTCGGATGGATCACCTTTTTTCCAGACTTTTATTAAAAGGAAAAATTCGAGGATATTTAAACGGAGTCAACGCGCGCAGACATTGTTTTGGTGTTCAAATGACTACGAAAATAATTGCTGGTGAACCTCAGTTGTTAGTAGTGAAGGGGGGCACTATGGGGCAAAACTTATGGGGCAGGAACATTATGGGGCAGGAACATTATGCAGGAACATTATGGGGCAGAAACATTATGGGGCAGGAACATTATAGGCTGGAACATTATGGGGCAGGAAACTTATAGGCCTTTAATAAATAGGGAAACGTACGGCACGTATGGGGCTTTAATAAATGGATAGGGTGTACTTAAACTCTCATACAGGTTTACCGTATAATGCGAGTATAGTGTTCTAAAAATAGCCCTATTTTAACCTGTGCTGTCATGTATATATTGATCGTGTGTACTACACTTCCAAGTAAACAAATTTAAATTCCAGGAATCGTGTATACATGAGTTATACTTTCAATACAGTATATAAACTTAAAGGGTTGACAATATATGAAAGATATATTCTTTCGGGAAGAATTGTGTTGGTTCTAAGAAGAACCTTTTTTTCTATTTTTTTTATTTGATTATTTTTTTTTATATTTTATTTTTTTTTAAACTTCACTAGCTATACATTCTTTACTGTTGCTCAGTGTGCTCACTGGTTTGATGCTCAGTACTATGTGGCTCAGTACTATGTGGCTCAGTACTATGTGGTTCAGTACTGGTCTGTTCAGTACTGGTCCGTTCAGTACTGCCCCGTTCAGTTTGCCGTTGTTGCTTATGATGCCCTAAAGGATAACAATCCCATAGTAGGGGCATGAATCGTAGCTGTTGCCTTCTTCTTCTTTCGTTTTGTCTTTCATTCTGTTTTTTTTTTCCTCTCTCAGCTCTCTTTCGGACTTCTCTCTATAGGACTGAGCATTTTTT